CCGTCTCCCGTGCTCTGCAGCCCCCCCCCCCCGCGTCGGAGAGGACCGGGGGAGGCTGGCCGTTATTTGGCCTCGGGCCACGACTGGGAGCAGGCGGAGGGGGGGGAGAGGGGCAGGAACGCTGTCCGAGTCGGAGACTGTCTCCGGAGGTTATGACCCGGCTGCTGACGTCACGCGGCCCAGCCACCAATCACGTATCGATTCTGGGGACAGTTGTGGCATTGGCCTGTGATTGTGGCTGGCCTCGCCGTCGCCTGCTCGGACAGACTTTTATCAGGAAAAACCGTGGCGGGGCCGTAAGTTAGATGGTTGTAAATACGCTGATCTCGCTTATGGATGATTTATAATTTCATAGCCTTTTTTGTATTATCGGACGTTGGAACATGTGGGATAGAAGCGAAAGCCCATTTCACCATCAAGTCTCCCTGTGTAGGAGTCGTCATAAAAGTTATCATCATCGTTAGCCTGCATTTTATTGGCGGATATTTTGGGAAAGTCTGCTGGCGGCTGCTTGCCTAAGGAGCCGGCGCCAGTCAACTGGAAACAAGGCACGGCCGAATCGCCACCCGGCCGGCCCTTTCTGCGCCGCGCGCGCGAGAAAGCGTGACGCCGGCGCCGCTCGCCGGAGTGCGGTGTCGACACCGTGACTTGTGACAGGCCGGCGTGTCAGCCCGTGCCAAGGTGCCGCACTCAGCCGGCTGCTGTCCGAGCCTGTGTCACAGTCTGTGTCAGTCCAGGTGTGTGCTGTATCAGTCCAGATGTCTGCTCACTATCTTTATGGTTACCATGCACCCTGATAGGTCGTCAATACGCCTGTCAACCTTGGGATATATCATGTCATTTTGTGTGTTATTATTACCACCCGTGACCTTCCGTGTTATCGCCCTATCATATCTGCCTGTGTCGGCTCCTGATAGATCTGTCGAAATCGCTAGGGTGTCTGATTCTATCAAAGTTTATAGGAGCCAGGCGAGATCGAGCATGTCCCCTGGGCCGATAAACCATTGTGACTTTTCTTCATATTCCGCCTGGGACGATGTGTGCCGTCTGGGGCGGGGTGGGCCCGCCCGCGTGGGTCGGGCGCACCTGTCACTGGGTGGCACGCGCTCGACAAGGTCACGCTATGCCGTCCTTCACCGGCGCGCTCGTGCCCTGTCGTGCTCGGTCTGCCGCTGCCACCGTGCCTCCTCCGTGACATATCTCCGCTCTGTTCTGTTGCAGGTTTATGGGCGTCTGTGTTCACGAGGGCCAGCTGCACGCGCTGACAGAGGTAAGAGCCGCCGGCGGGCGGGCGGCAGCTGCCGGCTGCCGGCTGTGGAACGGTGACCACTGCCGGGGGCGACGGCCGTCTGCTGTGCGTTTCTTCAGGCGCTCATGTTCATGGTGTTGACACACATACGGCGATAAGTGGCGTGTTCGTTTGTGGCTGTCGTGTTTGATTTATAATTGTTTGTCGGTGAACTGGTTCTTTCCAGCCGGTAGAAATCCGGTGTTAATGAAGTAGTGAATAAAGTCGTGAAATATGGACCGATTCCGGGCCGGGAGGCGCCCGGCCCTGCTCCACACGATCATTCCGAGCTGAGCCTGCGCTGTAATTATTCACATCGGCCCCGTTTTTCCTCGTTCCTGTCGTCAGCAGAGGATCGTAAAGCCGTGCACTCCCCGGCTCCGCGCCCGGACACGTGTAGATAACACGGCAGATAGGCGGCGCGGCGTCACCTGACATATCACATGCCGGTCTGCTGAGCGCCGCTGACATCCGGCGCGGCTGATTGTGGGCCGCTCCCCGTGACATACGACGGGAAGGCGCAGGGACACGCTCGGCGGCTCCCTGTGACCGAGCCCGTCCTCTGAACGGCCCGCCGAACAATGGGTGATCACTGCACGGAGCATGGGTGGAGCGTGCTGCGCCGAACTGATACAGATCGGCCCGGATTTCGGCGCCTGCCGTCGCTGCCCTCATTGCAGTATGTTTCTTTTCTCCGTGTTTGTGTCGGGTGAACTGCTTAGAGACGAGCGTGCTTCGTGAGTTCTTGGGTTCGGAGGAAAGCAGGGTAAGGTATTTCAGTCACGTTCGCCGACTCGATGCAAGTCTGAAGACCGAGAAACGACAGGTGATTGTCGGCAAGAATGTGAGCTGGAAAGCTAAGCAGTAAGCTGAGTCCGCGCTCCAGCATTTTGATCCCTGATGATGTCGTCAGCAACCAAGGCCACACAACGGCGCCGCTTGATTTATGGATGAGCATCGAACGTGTTCTTATGAGACCCAGCGCTGGTTTGAAATCTCGGCTAGTGTTGTGGAAGCTGAAGTGATTTTCTGTTTTGCCTCGGACTTCCCTCGCTCCGACTCGCGTCATGTGACGTCACGCTCGCGTCACTGCACGTCGCCGGTGCTCAATCTGCGCCGGTTTCGCCGCGGCGTGCCGTGCGTGCCGGCCGCCGGCTATTGTCCTCTCGTGACGTGTGCGCCGCACTCGCCGCGGCACCACTTTCGCCGCACTCGGCCACTGGCAATATCGCCGGGCCCGTCCGCTATTGTTCCTTCCGTTCCGACGCCCGAGTTCGGTTTTACCAGAGACCTTTCGCCGTCTTCCGCACATGTGTTGCCTTCTGTATAGTGCACACCTGTTGTCTTTGTTTCTTTTATACTGTTATCAAACATTATTAATCCACGTTTCGCAGTAGAACAATTGTTAATCATCGCTGTCCTCGTTTTCCACTGATGTTGGAATGATATAATTTGCAGGCGCGAAAACTACTGCCGATTACGTGTTTACACGACCACAATAGTTGCGAACTTTGCCTACTCTACTACGTCGGTTTCGTGGTTTTTCTGTCGTCGTCATTGTCCGACTCCACGTCAATCATAGTAAGTAAGCGCTGATCCGGACCTGCGACGTGGTCATCACTTCCCGTTCTGCCCGGATCTCCTCACAGCTATGTGTGCGTGAGTGTGAGTCAGCCGAGCGCCGCTCTGCGTCCGGCCGGCTGGCCGCGCTCCGTCTTCCTGTCACCAATCAGTGGATTATTCAGCGGCGCTCTGACGCGTCACGCGAGCGCTCGGGCGCGGACAGCCGCTCCCGTGGTGACCTGGGGCGGTCCTGGCCGGAAGGGACGGGTTAGAGGGGAGGATAGGGTGAACTGTGGGAATCTCATGAGGGGCAACGAACGGGAGGGGGGACAGTGAATTCGTATAGGCGTGGAAATTCAATCGAGACAGGATGGAGAGAAGAGAATGTTTGGTGGTACCGCCCGGCCGCCCACGTCGTGCGCTGAACGCTATGGAAACCACATCGGAAGGCCGTTTCACATCCGGTCTCGGTAGCCAATGTCGGTTTATTGCCGAGGTCACCAGACGGGGTCACCACCGGGTCACGCCTCGGGTCACCTCTGGGTCAGCGCCTCAGGGGACCTGTCGTTACTGGGCGGGCGCGGCGCGTGAGTGAGAGTGCTATCAAAGGCTGGGCGGGGTTGAACCCGCGTTCGCTCCTCTGTGCTACAAACAGTGGGGAGGAATGCAGGGAGAGTTTTCTGTGCTACAGTTTAGAGCAGGGGTCGGCAAATGGTGGGGCATGCCCCCTTTGGGGGTAATGGAGCCCCTCGGCGGGGGGTAATGGGGGCCTCTGAGAAAGCCTTATCTTATAATTAATGTCTCCCTTGATGGGACAGACATCACGCCTGTTTGGTCTCAGGGTTCAAAGATCGAACGCTAACCGTCGCCCCTCTATTGGCGTTTTCATAACAGCTAACGTAAACGGGGAGGGGCCGGTCGGGCCCCAGCCTCTCGGCCTCTGAAATCTGAACTGGAGCTTTGCGGTAGAAAAATGAGCGTGCTACCCGTGACGATAGGAAGACGCTGCTACCCAATTATAACCTTCGCACTTATAGGGGACCCCCTTTCCTCGGGTTTTCGCGAATAACTCGCGCAAAAAGCGGCCGATCGCGATGACATTTTCAGTACAGGTTTATCAATTTTATACATTGTAGCTAGAATTTCGCAACCATTTGAACATATACCAAGTAATTTTGGTGCCTTCGTAACATGTTACGAAGCTGTCAGTGGTTGTTGATGCCTACTATAAATACCCGACAGGACGCCTATCGGTTGACCTGACCTGACCCGACCTGGCCTAAATGCACGAAGACATCTGTAATCAAAACTTAGATAAAATTCGTGATCGGTACCCCGACAAACTCCACAACTATCCTCACTTTACGAAGTTCTGACAGGTCTCGATTTTCCGACTTTTTGGGTCATTGAGCCGACCTGGAAGGTCTATCAATGACCTAGGACCTTAAAATCGCGTAGCATCAGCTTTCTCTCGTCACGGGCAACACGCTCGTTTTTTCCGCGAAGCTCATGCTTGATCAGGGGCCGAACGACAAATAGGGGTCCAACGAATTTATCCCCCCCCCCCCCCCCCCATAAATTAGCGGCTGGCAAAACACCAATACGGGTGACGGTTAACTTCCTTGGCCATTTGGTGACTTAAGACTTTCAAAGGGTCAATGACAATTGTGTAGTAGATCAGCACCCGCTGTATATACCTTCTAGAATTGAAATTTTATGAACTTCCATGATCTCAAGAAACAACTGCCTAACAAGTCAACAGTTATTTCTGTCAATGTATGACATGCTTTGTGGCAGATAAAAAAAAAATGATCGGCTCGAGGGTAAAACTGTGTCGTGATCCGACGTTTTTCCATAATAATACCCGAAATACCCAAAGAATCACGGAAAGGTATGATGACATTTCAGTGAGCTCGGTTGTGTATGCAATGGTGTCTGGTAGGGTGGGGGTAATGGCCCTACCTGGCGCCCGAAAAGGGGGCACGACCCCGGAGGGCCTGCCGACCACTGGTTTAGAGGAACACGGAGAGTCTGAAGAGTCGGTTCCGGTTGTAAAACGATCGACGAGAAGAGATCTCCTGGGACGGTGTGCGCTGGGAAGCTGCCTGTTTTCCGGATAACGGCCGCGTTTCGTCTGTGTCCGTGACGGAGTCGATTGGTGGCGGCGCGGCGGGCCGCTCCAGTTCCCAGCCGCGGGTCGGCGCTCTCCTGGGAGCCGCCCCACGCCGGAACGATGTCCGCCAGGAGCGCGACCCACTCTCCGAGTCTGCCCGACTCTCCCGGGCCGCACGGAAATGGAGAATTCAATGAGACCGGCGGCGGCGCGGCTGGTTTATGACGTCTACCCGGCCGGAGTCGCGGCGACGTGCCGTTTCGGCATGAGAGGTCGCAGATTGGCGGGGCGTCAGCCGGCGACATGTGACGAGTTACCGCTGACGACTCGGGTGCATACTGCACAAGCGGCCGACTGGCGTTCAGTTGAATTACGAGCTGTGCAGCAGATGGATGTAACTGCCTCAGTCATCTCGAGCAAGTTATGAGCTAGATATGACGCGTCAGCCGGCCGCGCCCACCACATTCAGCTGCGCTGCTGGCCGCCCACCGTGCGCGACAAAAAGCGAGCCGGCGGGGGACAACAGATGGACGGCGCGTCATCAGCCGAATGAAAGTGGGCCCGCTGCGGCGTCTGTGGCGAGCCGTGCCAGACCGGAGACGAACGCGGCGCGCCTGTTCCGCCGGAGGACGCCGCCAAGGCAGCCGCCGCGCCGTCTCTCCTGGACGCGCCAGCAGCGGTGCGGACGAGGTCGTACAAATAAATCACCATTACTGTCACTTAACGTCTTGCGGCGGCCAGGAAGTGGAAGGAAGTCTATGTATTCTGGGCATGTGCCGCAATCATGAACACAGAGCATTGTCCTGGCCTTTCTGCCGCCTGACTGCGTGCGCCGAAATCACCGACCAGTTTCGGGCCGACCACCGGTACCGAGCAAGCGTCTGTGTAACCAAAGTAGCCCGGTGGAGATAGGCGGACACCATCTCATCGGAGCCTCCTGATCCGGGTGCGGGCATTCCCCCGCTCAGGCTACCCTCTCGGTGTTTCATTTCATCCGAGCTGTCTGCACTTGTCAGACGTTGTGCTTACGACGGGGCGGCGGGCCGGAGCTCTTTATGGGCAGCGGGCCGGAGCCCCTGCGAGGGCGGCTGATGGGGGCGATCGGGCCACCGCTCCTTTTACTTTTCTCTCGGCTCCCCTCGGCTGGCTGCGGGCACTTCTGCAGCGGAGCGTGCACGGCGGCCGGCACGGTCTCGCGGAAATCGTGGCCCGCCACGGACGGACGACGGACGGCCGCGCTGCTGGGCTGGGCTGGCGCAGCTTTCGCCGCCAGCTGCGACAGCGCCCACGGACAGACTGCTTTGGAGTGTGGACGGAGGAACAGAAGGCCTCCGGACAGACGCCTGTGGGCAGTCGGAGGGACAGAAGGCCTGTGGAATGTAGACTGAGTGTGGACAGCGGCTGGACGCATGCCACCGGCCAGCCGGACTGCGAGCTCATGGCAGACGGTTTCATATCTGGAGAAGGATGTGGTCTTTTCGACCAAAACCGATGGCGCCGGGATGTGGATATACTTTTGAAAGGGTCTCTGTATTGTAGATGTCTTTCTTCTCAGCAAATATGGGCCAGTTGTTATCCACATAAGGAACCTGCCTTTGAAGTGAGGGCCTTCCGTTTGGCTTCTGAACATAAAGCTCCATTCAGGTCCGTGCTCTAAGGCGCACTCAGTCATGATTGATTCGATGCGGCTTTTCACTGCATGACAATCGATTCAAGCAAGTCAAGGCTACTCTTTTATTCACCGAACATACCGAATGGGAAATACCCAGCGAAACCAGCCTCAGCCACTCGAGCCAAAACATTCTGCCGTTTCTTTATCACACTCTCTCCCTCGCACTCAAGGCATCGTGCGTCTGGCCGCGCCGGAGGAGTTTCATTTCGTGTACCGTCGGGTCTCTGTCGCTCCGTCAGGTGTGTGACCGCGGAGTTGGGAGCGGCTCCTCCACCCGGTGGTGGCTAAGATACCGGCGCGTCTAGGCTTTCTGCAGCGCTATCGGCAGCTGCGGCATTGATTTCCATTGGGACTGGATGACAGGGGAGATTCGCACTGTGCGCGGTTGGATACCTAGATGATCAGTCTGTCTTTCTGCAGATGACAACTGGTCTTAACTCTTATGGTCTTTCATTTCCGTTCAACTTGCTGGAACAGGGCGGCTACAAACCACTCACTCTTTATTATAACTTTTCTGAGTGTGTTACATGTGACTCGGTGTGCCGTTTGTTTCTGTGTATTGTGTAACTCTCGCTCTGTCTGGCGTGTCTAATGTGCGCCCCATTACGGTGACATTCTCGCCGGCTAACCCGTTGTCGTATCTGCCTTTCCAGTACATTAACGGCGGCAGTCTGGAGCAGCTAGTGCAGTCGCCGGAGCCACTGACGTGGTGCGCGCGCACCCGGCTGGGCCTGGACATGGCGCAGGCGCTCAGCTACCTTCACAGCCAGCAGGTCTTCCACCGAGACCTCACCAGCAAGGTAAGGAGTGGAGACCTTAACAGCAGGATGGGGGTTAGAGACCTCTCTGCCAAGTAAGGAATGGGTGCTTAGCAGGCGCCTTTATCAACAAGGGAAGGGCTTAGTAGGCGGCTTATCAGGAAGGTATGACCTGACATCCTGGTAGAACTTGACAAGGTGACAAATGTAGGTAGGATTCCAGCTACCGATTTGACAAGCGGCGCAAAACCTGACGTATCGCCCTGCCAACCGAGTACAGACATCCGAGAAAGATCACATCACCTGAACGGAAGGAGCCCTGACACCTCCCTGGCACGAGGAGCGTGGAACCTGACATGGCGACCTAGCGTTACCTGACTGTCGAGTCACCACCTCTGACCCTTACCCCGTCGTCGGCTGACATCTGTCGGAGCTCTCGGTCGTCGCGGCGACCTCACAAATACACAGGGCTGTGACGCAACCGGCGCCATCCCCGGCCCTCCCCACGGTTTCTGGTTTCTCCTCGGGGTTTACCGGCGATATCGAACGGTTCAGTGCACACGGTCCGTTATACATAGAACAGTTTGGAATTCATGACATGTCGCCAGCGCAGGTCAAACCTATTTCGTAATTTAGCGGCATTCGTTCAATGCCGACACCATTGGGCTGCTCAGTTCGGTCGCCCTCATGAAAGCAATGTAAAAATAGACCCAATCAGCGACTGGTTCAAAATGTGAAAGTGAACGCACCCCTCGTTGAGAAATGGTGTCGTTTTTAATGGCGGACCACTTTGTCCCTCGCCCGTTAGGTGCCCTGGTGACGATAATGTAACGCCGGCCCGCTGTGTCGGCGCCGAGATGGTGCTATCTTCGGTGCTCTGTGACCGGTCGATGGGCCGATAAGGCGGCCTCGCCAATCGGGAAGGTCGAGATTAGTGGTGCCAGACTCGGGCAATATCGGCCCAGTTCCATCCCAACTGTGATATGAATGTTCGTTAGAAATCGTCCGAACTCCGAAGCCATCGGTTTGCCCCGTTTGCCGAAATTGTTCTAGAATAACTCTGCTTGACGATTTTTTGACGATTGATTACGCCGAAGGTATGAAATTGGCTAGGACGTGGTAACTTAATTCTAATTTTACATGGCATCATTCGACACATACTGCATCAAGACGGATATTTGTTCGACTTTGTTCCTGACGCTTATTAATTATTGCTTACGATCCCCGGTTCAAAACTAACATGAGCTGTGGGTAAACTACCTATAATAGGTACCCATAGTCGGGACGTCGAGCTGCCACAGAGGGAGCTCCGGACCCGTCTGTGACGTGTACGTCCCGTTACTTCCGCCGCGTGACGTCAGAGGTCGTCGCGTCACGTTACGTCTCCGGGAGTCACGTCGTGTGGTCCGCCGACCGCGACGCTCGGGGGCGGCGGGTTGGCGGAGCGCCCGGCTGGGTACGCCGTTGGCCGGGTGCTGAGTGTGAGCTGGCGTTGGCAGCGCCGCCGCCTCCTCCGCCTCCGCGCCGGTCTCAGAACTGGAGGAGCTCCCGGAGACCGGGCGGGGGGAGGGCGCTGGTCAGCGCTGAGGCTGAGCTGAGCTGCTGACGCGGAATGCTGACTGCGCTGAGGTGGTGTGAGGCCTGAGGAGGATTACGACGGCGGAGATTGCCCCGATCAATGGAAGATGGCGGGATAAGGGATGGAAGTAATATGGAGAGAGGCGTTAGCTTTCTCACCGACAGATGGGGAGATGATTGGAGAATGCTGATATGGGTTTCACCATTCTGCGTTAGCTGGTGTCCAGAATACGACAGCTGTGGAAGAGCAAGGATGAATAACTGCAAAACACATTCCAACGTCTTGGCTATCGTCCTTTCTGTGATATGCGTCCAGTCAACGTACCATGTCGCCGTCGTCATGAGGATAATGTCCTGGGTATCGCACTTCGCGTCCTAGCCTGCGCCACTATCTATCGGCCGGCCGCGTCAGTGCACGTGCGTGGGTGTTGCCCAATGCGGCGGACAATGAGAGCGGGCGCCGGTCGCTCACCTCGCTCTGACCGTGCCACTCGAAAGGAGGAGGCTCGCGTGCGGCGCCCATTGTGTCTGATGCGGCCAATGCGGCGCTGGGCGCGTGCCGTTATTGTCGCACTGCTCCGTGACGGAGACGAGCAGCGGCGCAGCCCGCGGTGAGGATGGCCTGGCGGATGGAGAGAGGAGACATAGACGGAGACTGGGGCGGGCTAGGTGCTATGAAGGGTGTGATGGATCGGTGAACGCCGACCGACAGCCGGCGAACGAAAATGGCGCCGACGGCTGGCGCCAAAATAGCTCTCGGGCCGCTCAAAATAGCCAGCGGTATACGGATTCCGCTGATGTTAAGTAAATTTTGACACAGCTGTTATTTACGATCTCGTTGATGGTTCTGAATTTAGGTCACAATTATTTTAGGCATGCCGCCTGCATATTCGCTCCGCCTGACCGGCCGGCTCGGCCAGTATCCGGTTCGGTCCTGTTCTAATCACGAGGTGCGGCCACTTCGGTCGGATTACACGGCTGTCCAGCCATAAACGTCGCCTCCGTACACCGACCGGCGCGCCCGGTCGGAACGGAGTGCGCTGGCGCCCGCAGTTAGCCTGGATGACCGGCATTAGCACTGATCCGGCGCCGCGCCCACCGCCCGCAGCGCTGGCCGCTTATCGTCCCATCAGCCGTCAGATACTGTCCCATCAGCCGTCCCGGACTGTCCCGTTGGCCATCTCGCTGTCCCATCAGTCCTCCCACATTGTCCCACCACATGTTAATCCAGAAGTTCCCACCCAGTAACGAACCATACAGTCCCACCGGCCGACCCACTATGTCTACCTGCCATCGTCACACGGTCCCAACAGTTGTGACTGGAAGACCGTGTTCACTCTATTCAGGACGTGCGCTGTTTACAGTCCGTGAAAAGTTGGTCATTCCCACCCACTCCTCCTTTTCATTTGTCCTGAGTGCTTCTAAGTCTTACCAGTGTGTACAACTACTTTCATGTTGGTCTTTGAATGGTTGGCTAATTGTTCTTCGGCCGTGACCGGGTACCCGTCTCGCCTTGTTTCAGAACGTGCTGGTACGGCGGAACGACGACCTGACGCTGACTGCCGTGGTGGGCGACTTTGGCTTGGCCGCGCGCATCCCCGACCCACGGTAAGGGAGCCCCGCCGTCCCACAGCACAGCATAGTTAGAGCATAATCTTAATCAGACCCGCCGCCAACAGGCGTGGTTTTGAATACGGACCGAGCCATATGTAAAGTGCCGGTAGTTCACCAGCTGTGAGCAGTTTTCTGAGCGAATTACATCCAGTTCTGGTTGTGAAATGAAAATAGGGCTGAGTATAGCGGCGGCCAATTTAATTAAAACACATATGTTGCGCTCCAAATGACTCCTATCGGCGGAGTTCACGATAATCTAGCTCCTCATAAATTGTACCGGCCATGACACCTAACATATCGGGCGCATTTCATCAGCGCATATCTCACCCGTCACGCAGCGTACCATCGAGCCGGCGAACCCGGAGCCGAGTTTGGTCCGCTCTCTTCGGGCCGCCCTCCTCCCTCCCTTAGAGTATAGAGTCAGTGAAACCAGCGCCGAGTTTTGTTCGTTCCCTGACCAGCCTGTCTCGGCCCCTGCTCTCCTCTCCCTCACAGCGCCCCGAGACTGGCTTCCTTTCTGTCCAGCCGTCCTCTCCCCCCACAGTTTATCGAACCGTCTGCCTGGTATCTATGTGGTACGAGTATGGCCCTCATTCTGACTACCCTCTACTCTTTCCGCAGCGTACCGAGCCGTCTGGGCACGGCATCTAATCTCACTCCCTTCTGACCACCCCACAGCGTACCGAGCCGTCTCAGCACGGTTGGCTCGTTCTGGTGGATGGCGCCCGAGTGTATCTCCAACCTGCCGTACGACCAGCGAGCGGACGTGTTCAGCTTCGGCGTCATCCTGCTGGAGATGGTGGGACGCGTCTCGGCCGACCCGGACGTCCTGCTGCGCACACCCTCGTTCGGGGTCGACTACGTGGCGTTCGCGTCTCTGTGTCCACCCGACTGCGACCTGGAGCTGCTGCTGCTCGCCTTTACCTGCTGCCTGGTCAGTGGAGACACATGTACTCTGATGTCTGATGTGAACAGTTGTCTGTGTCTGCCTGGTCAGTGGAGGGGTATACGAGCTGTCTGTATCTGCCTGGTCAGTGGAGGGAGATGCAATGTGTCTGTGTCTGGCTAGTCACTGAAAGGTTATGTCCTGTCCAATCGGCGTGCCTCGCTGTGCCTGCAAGCATAATATTTATGCGCTGTCTGGTCAGCGGGAGAAATATGTGTGTATTCTTTCTGTCTCTGTATGTGCGCCTGCCAGCATATTCACCTGTTGTATGATCCGTAGAGGCTGGTGTGCTGTTTCGTATCTGGCGAGTCAGTGTAGGGCGATGTGCAGTATGCCAGTCTCTGTACGTTTGTCGATCGGCGTGCGAGCTGTCTGCTACGCCTGTCCGTCTGTCAACCTGTCTATGCTCATTGTGCAATCTATCTGCCTTTGTATGTTTGTAGTTGTATGTCGGTCTGTCTGTCCGCCCGCCTGTTTGTGTCTGTATGTCTCAGTGGATGACAATGTGAAGGATTTCATTATTTATTGGACGCCACAGCATCTGCACCTAATGCCCTTCGCTTCTATTTATATCCGATAAAGCTGGTGCCTAGCCTTGTCCTCATAAGCCTCAGTGAAGATAATACGGCGTGCCCTGAGCATGGCAATAATGTTCTTATGACAAATACCGCCCAGTGTCTCTATGGTGCCCACTTCAGATAAAAAAATACGGCGCAGTTTCTCTGCCTGAACACAAGGCCCACGCTCTCCCGTTCAAGTGACAGCTCGTGACCGTTGTAACTAGTCAACAGCCTTGCATCTCTCATCTCTCTTCGACAATGAAGTTTCAGATAGTCTGCTGCACTCAGCGAGTAGTTTATATCAGCCAGAGCACTATCTGGATGGCTGGATTAGTCGTCTCAGGCCCAGTGACTCACCCCTCTCGTCTCAGTGTGTTAGTCAGAGGGAGGGCTTGTTGTTGCCTTGCCAGGCGTCTTTCGGCGCCCGCTGGCGCCCCAGCCCGGCGCCCCAACCCGGCGCCCCAGCCCGGCGCCCCAGCTCGGCGCCCCCGCCCGGCGCCCCGCCCGGCGCCCCCGCCTGGCGCCTCTGCCAGCGAGCGGCTCACACTGTTTGGTCTGTGAGGAAAATAAGCGGGAATCGCGGTGATAGGAAGGCGGATCGCGGCTGTGCAGCGGGTTGATGCTGGTCCAAGGCAAACAAGCCGGCCGGGGCGGCGGCCGGGGGCCCTCCGGGAAGTAGACGTCACTGGTGTGATAGGTACAGACCAACGCGCGATAGTCAGGCGCAGGCGGGGTGTCGGCTACACGGGGGGGGGGGGAGGTGACTGACCGATCAGCGGGGTGGGGTAGGCTCGTGTTACAGAGCAATGTGGGACGGTCCCCGGGTTTTATGACATGCATCATAGCGTCATGCTAAGTCACGCATAGATAGTGATCGTGACAAAATCAGTTATGATTGGGGGGTATTGGTAATGATTTCGTGATTGGTCAGTATTATGGCGATTTTACAGTCTTATTTATGGATCCAGCAAGAAAAGTGGTCCAGTTTCCTCATTGCACTTATGATTGTTATGGATCACGTTTTATTGAATGGGTGTGCCAAGGAAGTCACGAAGGACAGCAATTAAATCCAATAATGGTTTTACTTGTAGATAACGAAGCATGTCTTTCGGTTCCTCGCCATGCCTCACCTACATTCCCTTTGTCCGTTCTGCGTGCCCCCACGATCGCCTCGTCTGGACCTGTCTCTGTACACCTGTGTAATTCCCTGACCCACTGTGACGCAGCTGTGCGGCGCGACCCCCTGTGTCCGTGTGGTGTGTCCGCCGTCTGCTGACTGTGTCTGCCCCTCTCTGTCCACAGCACGCCGCCAGCAGCCGGCCGTCCTTTGCCGAGCTGGTGCGGAGGCTGGAGGTGCTACTGGCGATACTGAGACCCCAGGCGGACGCAGCACGCCGGCCCATCCCCGCAGCCGCACCCACTACCCGTACGTTCTCAAATGGTTTCACACTGTCACCTATCGTAGAGAGGATTAGGCACTACGAGAGTTTGAGTTGGGATTTTCTGCAGTACTGTGTGCTGACATTGTTGGATCTCGGAGTCGGAGTAGTCGGTAAATGCTGAATGATCCTGCAGATCTCGGTGTCATGCTCCGCGAAGTGTTTGTTCGATGCTCAGAGCGCTCACTCACGGTTATCTAACGAGTGGGACGATACGTGAGACGACCCTGGGTCGTGTTTTTGCACTCTGATGATCACTGTGACACTCAGAAAACGCTGACCTATCGTTTCTTATACCTATCGCTCATCGATAAGCTCATTAAGGTGCTGGTTCTTTCTCCTTGTCTTTTTATGCGATTTTGAACGAGCATATCACGCATCACGGAACAACAAACGTTGGCCAATCCCCGAATGGGTAGCGTTAATTTCTGGCCAGAAATATTTACAATGATTTTCGGCATTACCTGACGGTGCAGTCTTCTTTGTTGTTGCTTTTGTAACCGCAGCTCGAAGAATATCAAGCCTCGTGTGCTATCGTGATCTTGAGCATTGAGCAACCCACTATTGCTTTATTACCCCTGAACCCACTAGCTCACCACGCCATAAGTGTCGTTTTGCACCACCCTCATGTGCCACGGGTCCATGAACCACTAGTTCCCCGTGTCCCCGCTGACGGCTGGTGGCGCTGCTGTCTCCGCAGACTGGCGCTGCTCGCGGGAGGACCGGCTGGCTCACCAGCTGCTGAGCGAGGCCTGCTCTCCGAGTGACAAGGCGCGCCTCCACCGGCGGCCGTGGCGGCGCCAGGAGACCCTGCGGCGCCGGCCGGCCACCGGTCCGCTGGCCGTCGCCCGGAAGATGGCGGCACGCGACCCCGCCTACCGGCCCGGCGACACCACCAGTCCGTTCGCCACGCTGCAGCGTTACCGGCAGAGCCGCCGCGCGCCGCCGCCCGTCTGCGCCGACATCTACAGCTCGTGTCTGGAGCTGGCGTGGCCCGGTGGCGCGGCGGCGGCCCCGGAGCCGGTCCTGGCGCCCCGCGTCGGCTGCCACAGCCTGCCGGCCAGTCCGGTGTGCGGCCGCCGGGCCGACTGCGACCGGCCGCCGCCCGCCCTCACCCTCACCGAGGCGCCGGCGCTGCGCCGACTGGCCTCCTGCGAGTCGGGCTTCTACAGCAGCGTCGGCGAGGGCGAGCGGGCGTCAGTGTCCGACCTGTCTCCGGCCTCGCTGCGGTCGGCCTGTAGCCACGACGACGCCTCGCTGGCCACGCTGGCCTCCTCCGTGTACACGGGCTCCTCGGACGACGTCAGCAGTCTGGGCTGCGACTCCGAGGGCCGCCCGGAGCGCTCCAGCGAGCGCTCCGCCACCGACTTCCGCCGCATCCTGGCCTACTTCGAGCGCAGCGGCGCCAGCGGCCGGACGCTGCGGCTGAGTTTGGGCTGCCGGCAGCGGACCGCCGATCGGCTGAGCCTGGAGCGGGCCCGGCTGCGGCTGCAGCGTGCCGAGCGCGCCCTGGTGCCCGACCGGCTGGTGGCCGACTGCCGGCGCCTCTTCGACAGCAGCGCCGAGGACCCCGCGCCGGCCGCAGGACAGAGGGCCAGGCCGCTGCCGCGCGTCCCCGTCTCCGAGGGGATCGTGCGCGACAAGCGGACGGTTTTTGAGAAGAGCACGGGCGCGCCGCGGGCGCCCGTGTGAGCCGGCCGGGGCGAGGTGGTGTGGTACTGGTGACTCCCGTTTGGTCTGTGATGGTACGAGTGAGTACAAACGGCGCCGGGAAACCGTCAGTCCGGCGGTGTGTGCTCTGCAAGTTACCAATGGTGAGCTTTTTGGTCGCCCAAGACAGGAATGTGACTTAATTAATCGTATTGTAAGTTGTGCACGATAACCCGAGCTTACTTATCGTGTGAGACTATTGTGGCCATGATAGACGTCCGTCCCTTGTTATTTATCTCCGGGTTTGGCGCTGTTCATCAGTGAGGTGTCAGTTCTTCCTGCCAGTGTCGTGCTGTTAGTGCTTGTAACCTTTGTCTGACCCACTATCAGCTAGTCTAATGTCGGCAGTAGCCTTGAGACCGGCCTCGATGGCCTCTGAAAGGCCGTCGTGGTGAAGGGGGCGACACCTATAGGAACGTTTGGCCGGCCAGCAGCGCCATCTGTTCCGAGTAGTGAGCCAGTTTCGCGTTGGCAAGGCTGTCTGTTCCGCGGTAATCGTTATTTGAACGGACAGAGTAAGTAGATGGGCTTTCATGTGACTTAGTGCTCAACGAACGCGGGGTTTGCGCCCCCCCCCTTCAGGTGCCTCGATTGACGACCTATCGGAGCGGGTGTTCGGTCCGATCGCAGGTCCGGATAATATCAGTACTTATAAGTGCTCGGTCCCCATGCCAAAGCTGCGATTAATATTGTGTGAGAGTTGTGTGAGTGATGTCCTCGAGCATAAGAGATGCTTGTTTTGATCTTCCTGACAGAATGCGAGTATGTTAACCGATTGAGTCACCCAAGAGTGTAAACGTGGCTAATATGTAGTTACCATGTTGTGATAGAAGCAAATGAACTACATGAAATAGAAGATGGGATATTATTTTTGCGTGGTCAGTTGTTGATGACTCGATTTATAAAGACTGTGTTGATGGTGGTTTTGTGTTTACTTTGAAGATGCATCGTAAATACACGTGAAAACTTCGCTATGGTTTTAAGGGATTTTAAGGACGGCTCAGCTATAGGGATGATCTGCCGCAGTTATTTAATTCGTTCTATTTCGATTGTATCTGACCGAATGCCACACATACCTGGCACTTGCCGAAGATACATGAACAAAGAAAACAAGCATTTTAAACAGATGACAACACAAAACACTACAAAATTCATTAGTGACGCTAAATTGTTTGCTTACGGAAGTGCGGTAAAGACCGGGGTGATTGTGCGAAATGGTAGTTTGGTCGTTATCCTGTTTACGATGCTTGGCGCTAAGGCACCACACAAGCGTTCTGGAAAGGACGTTACATCATACTATGGACATGAGCCAAGGTTTACAACCTCAATGCGCTATATTAATTTCACTGACCCTCTATTCCTTTGCATTAAGTATACTTGGCCTATAGAATAGTAACCAACTGTGAGACTGGCAGACGAGCGGAAGGAACCAACAAAGTGTATAAGTTTCATTTATTTACCAACAGACCACAAGCGACATAAATATAATCTGATGAATAAACGTGCAAGTAGTTAATAAACACGGGCCTGTTGCTAACGAGCATGTCCTCAAATGATAACGCTAACAGTTCGAAATCCGGGCTTATTGTATACCGTTTCTCGGTTGTTACTGAATGCATCGTCAACACCTGTAAACATGAACACCATTCTCACTTTTTCTTCGGTTGCGGTAAAGAAGTTTCCACGCTTGAGGCCACTTGAGGGGCAGTGTGGACGTTGATATCGGGCCGAGGTCAGCTCCTTCTGCCGTTCATCTCTGCGCCACCTCTCGATACCTATGCGAGTATGCGGCGTTCGCCGATGAGGGGACGGGCCCTGTCGATGCGCCGTGGTCACTGACCGCTCTCATCAGGTGGACGGACCGTCGTCGCCAGAGGCGGCGGCGGCGGCGGCGGCGCGCGAGCGGCCGGTGCGTCGACATGTTTTTATTGACGCCACGACAAAAACGCGACCGGGCACAAAACACGGCCGACGCGGCGCACAGACAAAAACGGCGCAGCTGACGGCGCGCGGCGGCGGCGGCGCAGTATGTTCATCTACTGACAGGTCAGGTCTGGTTGCAGTCGGACCGGGCCCGAGGAAAAGTAGGTCTCGGTGTGACGGACAAAAAGACACGGCCGTCAGCGGTGAGCCGCGCCGGATGACCTCGATTGCCAGCGGCCCAGTTGCAATCGGTGACTGCGTTGCACGGAGCAAACAAAAACAACAGAAAATGGTTTTGATGAGCATCGAAAGAATATGACCGATGAAATAAGTTCTGGAAATCAAGCTACTGATGCTCGAAGTTATCCAGGTAAACTATAAATAGCAACCAACGAAAATCACTGAAGCAGTGATGAATCTAATCAGAGAAGCACCTACAAGCGCACCAGATGATAATCTTTCCTAATGAGCATGCGGACGGTGATGGCCTCGCTATAAGAAAGCAATCGATGATAGAACACACGGCATCTCGTATTTATTGATGCGAGCGAGTAGGCTTCTGAAACCGAGCAAATCGAAACGGAACAAACAGAAGTAGGCATACGGAGTCGCACCACGGCTGATGACACGGTTGGCATTCGACAATAACTGAGGATATTTACTGGCAATGTCATCATTCTTCTTTCTGGAGACCTATGGCAGACGTAAGACACCGAGTAATAACCCCATCGATCTTATGGACCGTGCGAGCGAGGGAGAGGGTGCCTGAGAGGGCGAGAAAGAGAGAGTAAGAAAGAGAGACACTGAGACAGAGATGCAAGTCTAGCAGGAAGGTATGTTTTTTGTAAGGGTTGGGGGTTGGGGGGTGAAGAGGATAACTGTACCCACCTCAAGACATGGCTACCGGTCGGCCGGTCGGGTCCGCCCGCGGTCACCGGCCGGTGACCTACAGCGATCGGTCGGAGCGGTCGGAGCTGTCCCTAGCCCGGGGGCACTGACCGCGGGCCGCCAGAGGAACAGGGACGGGACGGGACGGCCGCAGACCGGCCTTGACCCGCGCGGGGTGTGTGTCGCGGCGGTGCGTTGTGAATTGTGAGTGTTCAGTGCCGTTTAATTACCTTGGATTGATGTCATTTATCTATCATGCATCATATTCATTTATGTCACAATTTCTGCATAAAGGAATCTGAAATCATCCCAGTAAATATGTAAAACAATAACAGGTACTTATATCAGTTAAATGTCGATTAAGACGTCTATTTAAACGTCTGCCTAAGTGTCTGCTGTGAAGTCTATTAAATCGTCTATTGAACCGTATATTGAACCGTCTATTGAACCTCTATTGAACAGGCTATTAAACGGACTATTGAACATGTTATTGAACCGTCTATTTGACCGTCTACTTAACGTCCATTAACTGGCTATTAAAAAAAAAACCTATAGAAACGTCAATTAATTCACCTATTGAGCCGCCTATTAACTAGGTCTATTATAAAGTTTCTTAGAACGTTTATAAGAACGTTTATGAGGACGTCCATAACAATATTTATTAGAACGTTTATTAAAACGTTTATTAAAACGTTTATTGAAACGTTTATTGAAAGTTTGAAACGTTTCTTGAAACGTTTATTGAAACGTTTATTGAAACGTTTGGTAGGACGGTTATTAGAACGTTTAATGTTTGTTAGAACGCTTATTTCGACGCCTAGGTATTTATAATGAGTGAAGTCACATCAATGAAAGCTTGATTAGCCATAATGACTATCAAAAATATTTTAACGTCCTGCTTAGGCGTTGAGCCTGTTTAGGCGCTAGTACCAAACATTTTTTAAACGTCTGTTTAAGCACTTATCAAAACATCTATTAAAGTCTATTGAAAGTTATCGAAACACTTCTATCAAAGCACGTTAGCCAAATCGATAGTCTTGTTTAACTCATTACGTCAGGTAAATGCGTAACCGTTCATTGCGCGACAATGCGTTCTTCCGTTACCTACAACCTTTTCCGTTTCACTGCTTCCCTTTTACTGTAACATTTGTTTTGCCGTCCGGGGAGTTTTAATAAGTTGAATCCCCAGACACTGCTTAGGTAGTGACTAGCAAATAACAGATTATCGGTTTCACCAAGAGTTTATCCGAACAATGTGATTATCTCTTATGCGATACCACCGGCCTACTGTCATGCACGGTTGGCGGTTCACCTCGCTTGCTACAGGGAACGGCAGTCGTTCCAGCCCTCGTCCCAGAGGGGACCACACCGCGCCCTACCCTCGTTCTGTCCGCTGTTCTGTCACTTCCTGTCCGTGTCCCAGCCCGCCGGTCTCCGCGCTCCATCCCGCTGCTCCCATGTCTCATCCCGTTGGCCCGTCATTCCAGTCCGCCGTCCCAATATTCGCCGTTCCCCGTCCCAGCCTCCGGGCCGGCCTCCCGTTCCAGCTGCTTGGTGGCTTGCTGAAGACAACAAAACCACATTCGGCGGCCACCGAGACAGGTCATTCCTTGATAGGATTAGTTGAAGGATCGCTGTCTCGGTATAAGTTTAGTTGGGTTGGCCCGCTATCCCAACCGTTTGGTGTGGGAAAGGCATTTTAGCGAACTACGGAAAAAATACCTTCAAGAAATAACTTCATATGGCAGCACTCTCATTGATTGTGCTGCCACCTGTATGTTGTCTTCCGGGCTCATTTACAACACGAACAGCGGTGGTGGAGGTTGTGTTGGGTTCGTGCTTGATTTTGAGGAATTGTGCGGGTTCTGTGCCTGTGTTTGGTGTGTCTCATAGTCAGGATAGTCAGTTACCTAATTCGAGGAGTGAACTATCAGAGGTAACGTATTCAAGAGTGAGAAACGCAATTTGGAATAGAGGAATGTTTGAATGGGTCAGGTTCAGTTTTAGTTTCTGGAATTCAAAAATTCCCTGAGTATCTTTTTTCTGTTGATCAATGTAAGGACTTTCGTACCGAGCATCATTTGAAAAAATGTCTTCAATTCTTAACCCTTAAGCTGACTCACAATTTGAGTTGAGAGAGACCACAGTTTGAGTTCTATTTACATTTGGTTTTTTCATGTTTTTAAATTAAATGTTTTCTTGAATTTTTGTGTGTTTCAGGAAGATGGTAACTCTAGTTAACTAATGCACATTGTTTTATGATTTTCAGACATCTCAACTTCAAGCAATGGCAATGGAGAGTCCGGAGCGCCAGAAGATCAAAGCCATTCTTCCTCCTGCAAAGGAATGCACACACACCTTACACTATTGGTAAGATTGCAATTAGGCACCCATGTCCTTCCTCATTTCAATGTCAGTTATTGGATGAGCATTTTATTTTGAAGCTAAATGTAAGTCATACTTAACGTTAGCTTCAAGCTTGGTGACCGTGCCATTAGGTATATGACAGAACCTTCAAGCTTGTGACTATTCTGGACGCTTGCAAAAATGTATAATACCAATTTGGTTTGACTATTCTGGATGCTTGCAAAAATGTATAATACCAATTTGGTTTGAGTATCAGCCATACTGTATTTGTATTTCCAGATTGAAACTCTGGGCATGTTTTTACTCCCCCAAATGAATGATTGTCAGCCTTGTCTCTGGGCCTCTGGGATATCTACTGTAAGGGTTCATCTTATGCATATTTAATCATGGTGGTGTTTTGTAATTTCATACTTGTAATCAAATGTGCCATGGGCAGACCATGGTGTCCGATGTGTATGAACTACGACACAATTAGATTTAACACGCTGCACACCGTCGGTAACAGACACACACAGCGACCTCTGACCCCCACCCTTCCCTGTTTCCCGCACAGTGAGGAGAACGTATGGCTGCTGTGCCAACACGTGCAGGACAAGTACCCGCAGGAGCTGCCCTACTGCTACGCGGTGTTCATCTCCAACCAGAACCAGACGGTGCCGCTGTGGAGGCAGCGCGCCGGACGCACAGAGGACCGCGTCGTCATCTGGGTAGGTCACAACAATAACATCACGGGACGGGTCGCCACGGGTCGTCATCATGGGAGGTCACGAGACTACACAGACGGCATCACGGGTCGCCACCTGGGTAGGTCGCCGCCGGCACCGACAGCACCGCGGGTCGGGTCACCTTTTGTCGTAATCGAGGGGGGTTTTGGTGATTTTTTGGAACATGCCGAACACCGTATGCATACCACTGTTCGCCTCCTTGTTTAGGCCACGGCAATACACATTCCTAATAGGTATCTGGGACAGTTATCTGTGTAGGTGTTTGTGGCCACCGAACACCACAGTTAGGGTCGTGGCCGTTTGCGTAGGTCATGGCCGTTCGTCCTGACGATCCATTATGCAAACGGAGGAGGAAAGCGGAGAGGAATGAGGATTTGTGAATAGAAAACGGTCCTCATTGATTTACAAATTCGCGGATGTCTGGTATCTTGGTGGGATGCTATTTATGTTGATTTCCCAGAACCGCTGAGAACAGACTCATCAAGCTCTTGTTCTCGGTTCTTTAGGGTCTAGTAGGGCCGGTGGTTATCGCTTATACACTACCACGGTTGACAGTGTCTGAGTGTCACCGAATGGTGTCCGTTTTATTCAAAATTCGGTCATGGACTTTGCCTTCGTTCTGAGCCAGCATAAAAAATTCGCAGAGAATTGAGAAGATTTTGCTCATTTTCCATCCTTGTTCCTATCGTCCCGGTTTTGTGATCAGTGAGACCCTCTCTAATCATCGCCAGGTAATATTTTCGGCCAAGTCTTGGCACATTTTCTTTGTTTTGCTACTTTGTAGTATTTCTCATACGAAATGCTCCAAGTCCGAACTCCGAAGTATTTCTTGTTTGTACCTGCTGGTGCTGAGTGCTTTTCATTGTGAATTTCGTTATTTTTATTGCTCATTGCTTTCCATTGCGAGCCATTGACTTCCGTATAGGAAGCGTTTCATTCGCCGTATCACTTTATTTACGGTAGTTGTGCGAACCTTCCGTACTTTCTCGAACCGCCTGGGACCCATTGCCGGTGTTTACCTCCATTGCACTCCACTCCGGTGCCCCGCGGTGTCCGGTCGCTGGCGCGGGGTCAGCTGCGGCGGCGGTGCGTCGTTCGTCCGTCGGCGGGTCGATGGCTCGGTGCGCGGCACTGGCCCACCTCCCCGCCGCCGCCGCCGCCGCCGTTGGCGAGTGGAGGGAGCGGAGTGACCTCCGGCTGTGGCGGTTCCCGGAAGCGGCCACCGCGGGTCACCGGCTACCTGTCGGCCACTGCGGCTCCGCGGCGTGGCGTGGCGTCGCCAGCTGGCAGTGCCGCGGTGCTGATGAGCGGGGAGGGGGCAATCAGGCTGCCTGTTTGCCGCCGTCTGCGGCCGGACGGCCGATCGGCCATGGCCGGCGCTGGGGCGGGCCGGACGGCGGCGGAGGGTGTTGACCGAGAGAGGCGGAGGTGCGGCCGCGCCTGTATCGACCAGTGTCATCCATGACATTGTTGACAGAGGCCTGATAGGGGCGCGGGTGGCGGGCGCTCGCGGCGACCAGCGCTGCCTGCCCATTGCTGTAAGTGCCAGCTGTCAACGTAATCGGCTGTGGACATAATGGCTCACCCGAGGATGGCTTTATGGCTCAACTTCGCTGCCAAACACGCTTAATGCGAGCTCAACGATTAAAAAACTTTCGGCTCTATAAACTAGGGATTTGTGTCGTCCGCTGAAATAAGTGCAACAAGACGCCTACGAACCACTTCCAGTAATTTGTAGCGACAGTGATTGGTGAATGAGCTTTTAGCGATCGATTACTCATGGAATATCTTTAAGGAAAATCTGAGTTCCATTGAAGGTCGCCATTTTTGGTTGAATATTGTCGCAGGTACAGGAAGAGCTTTGAACTTTCTGACATCAGTCTCTCTGTGCTCTACGACCATTACCCCGAACTCCTCGACTGACCGACTTTCCTATTCCGAGTCAATCTGCGAACTGTTCGGTCTCCTGAGATAATTTCCGCCTTCCGCGTCCCAGACGGTCTGGAGTACTCTGTGGAGTGCGCCCACTGAAACCGGCGGAGGACGGTGCGAATACCTTCCCGATGCCGCGCTGTGGTGGCGTGAATAACAGCCGCCGGTCCATTTTCTAGACGTTTTCAAAAGATTGATTGTTGAACGCTCCTTCTCCCATCTATACTTCAGTGCGCCGTCCGCCTCACTGACGGTTTGAAAGGTATGGGCGAACTGAGTGATAAATTACGTCTTAGTGTAGGTACAGCTTTGAGTTCGGAGTTATGGGGTAATGCCAGACATACAACCAAGGAAGCCTGTAGTATCGACGTAGGCACGTAAAGTGGAGTGACTCGTCCAGTTTGATTCAGATCAGCGTTTGGGTGTGTGTTCGAGGGGGGGGGGGCATGCTAAGTCAGAGAGCTTCTTTGAGGAGGGACGAGTGCAGCGGACACGCAGAGCCAGTTTGACTGCATGTCAGGCCAGTCATGGGCGGACGCTGGTCGGGGTCAAGGACGGGTCAAGCTGGCTGGCTCCATTTCGCTCATCCATGTCGAGTAAAGGGCGAAGTAATATAGCATGAATTTTTGGCCGGGTTTGGGTTGGGCCATGGGTTGGGCTAGTGGGAGTCTCAGTCCCAGTCCCTGGTCAGTTCTGGAGCGGGTAGGTGCGGTGCGGTGTCGGTGGCCGCGCCGGTATCCTCCAGCCGTCTGTTCGCTGTCCCAGTGACCGAGCGGCCGACGCGCCATGGCCGATGCAGCTCCCGTTTACGGCCGTGCACCGCCGTTCCCGCAGCGCCGTTTACGACGTTGCACCGTCGTTCGCACACAGCCTGTTTATGTGTCTGTGCAAACGGCCCCCGTCGGCGCCGGCCGCGGCGAGTTGCAGCGAATAAATCAGCCCGGCCGGGCCGGCGGGACGCGCGCGGCCGGCCGGACACTGTGCCCCCGGGGAGGGCGGGGCCGGGGGAGGTACGGCACTCGACGGTAAACGGCCGACGACGCCTCCTGCCGCTGTGGATTGTCCAAGACGTGTTTGTACTGGGACGGTCGACAGAGGCGGCTGTTAGAGCAAATTTCGATGTTTTTGACCTGCGAATCGATAGGTAAAGATATGACTGACAGGGGGAACAGGGCTAAGCAGCATGAGCTGGCTCAGAGCCCTATACTGTAAATAAAAGCAGGAGCTAGAGGCATCAGAGAATGCATTTTTGGGTGGAATGTAGAATTCATAAGTGTAACCGATATTGCTCGTCACATGTTGGGTAGGTGTGGTGCTGTAGGCCGCAGGCACGCGGTCGCATCGTGATGGGACAAAGTTCACGAACAGACACGTCCTGGGCCGCCCCCCAGCGCCGGGGCGGGGTAGCGACGTCACAAGTTGGCGCGCGAATCGGTCTGCGCCGGGAACTCCCGTGCCGGCCGGCGACACACGTGGTTACCACATAGGTACTGGCGTGCAGAAACTACCGACTTTGTTTACACTCTCTTATTTACACTTCCTATACATTTGCCTTCACCCCTACACATCTTTGCATCGCACAACACTCAGTCGTGTGATTTTTGGACACATACTTGTTGTGTCTTCACTGCGCTGTGGGATTTACCGTGACCTGCCTCTCATAACAGGACTACCACGTGATCGTCGTCTGACTGTCTTATGGAACTGACCGCGGTCTATATGTCGTTACAGGACTACCACGTGATCTTCATGTACCAGCCGGACTCTCGGTGTCTGGTGTACGACATGGACTCTGAACTGCCGTTCCCCACCTACTTCCACAAATACGTCACGGAGACTTTCCGCACCGACCAGATCCTACATCCGGAACACCACAGGTGGGTCACCGACCGGCGCGGTGGATCACTGCTGGTGACCAGGGGAGGTCAGGTCACAGGTCACAGATCGGAGGTCACGGGCACGACTGGTCACGGGCACGACGATGGGTTGTGGGGGCAGGTCACGGATCATAGATCGGAGGTCACGGTTACGACAGGTAGCCGGCGGTGAGATGGCCGAGGTCAGGTCAAGGGTCCTCAGGTCACTTATATTTCACAACGAAGGCTATTTGTGGAAGAGACCACAATATCAAGCTGCCATATAGTTTCATTACCCGCGACCTGAGGCTGAAGGTCGTGGATGCTACAGGTTAGCGGTAGTGATGGGTCAAATACACGTAATGGTGTTTGCTATTGGTCAGGTCATTGGTTTGGATCACTGAGATCATGTTTCTGGGGTGTTACCACCCACCACTGATTAGGTCGTCAGGAACCCCTCCGATAGGCGGTATTACCAGAGCAATTGGAAGTCAAACAACAGCTATGTTTGGATAAGTATTGCAGGTGACGGCTGTGCTGTGGAATGAGAGGCGTAGATGATGAAGGCAAGCCAGGATGTAATATATGTGGGGTTCAACCATTGATTTTTGTTAAATCCGGACTCTTCTTCACAAAGCGCTCGTGAGTTTTGTGCTGTTTGTCAGGGGCTTCGTGTTCCACGTCATTTGCTTTCCGATTTCCTTTGTTCCACTTTCTGGCTAAATGAGCGGCTTTTCAAGGAACCTCTGTCGTGCCGTACCGTCGTGTTCCAAAGGCCCTGTCTATATTCCGGCGGCCGCACGTTTTTATGCTGCAGTTAAGATAAACGGCATAGATAGCTGCCGTCATTAGCCGGACGGCGATAGAGTCGCTGGTGATGCACTTTGCATGAAGTGGACCGTAGTATGCAAACAGGGCAGCATTAACCCGATAGCTTGATCCAGCCAGCAGGCCAGGCAGCGGGGCTCTGCACTATGTTCGGACACACGTCTGCCACAACCTACTTAACTTACGAGTATACCTACTGCCGCGCTTCTGGTCGACTCATCCGCAGGAGGGGTTGCGTAAAACAGTATATTTTTAGCGAGAACATCTCTCTTCAGTCACAGATGGGTATGCACGGATGTATGTATAATGCAAACGCTCAGAGTGACGTGCTTTCTGGATCCTTGCGAATTATGATCTAGCCTTGTCTACATGCAGACTGCAGAGTATTCCAGCTTCCAGATTCAAAGGAGCTTTATGCATGCTGACCTAGTACGACTCGTAAAACAAAGACCAGATTGGAATCGGCAGTGGTTGCCAGCCGCGGGTTTTCGATAGACCATGGGTCGTAGCGGTACTGAGAATCCGACAGATTTCGTCGATTTAGTAATATCCTCAGCTGGGCTGTCAAGCTTCGTAGCGCTCGGAAGCTCTGGTGATTTTATGCATTGTTTGGGACGTCTATTGGGGCGTTCGGAGGCTTTTCTGAAGAATCCGCCACAGTGCCGGCGCTGGCCGACCGCCCAGCGGCCTGCAAATCGCTCTGCCAGTGTGACTGCAGTGCAGATACATCGCACAGTGGGCAGCCTGCAAGAGAACTGGGCTACTGGACGTGGATGAAATGGGTCAGGATACGGCTGTGAATAGTTTGCAGAATACAGAAAACGTTGCGATTCTCGCACGGTTCTATAATCAAAGCGTTCTTAGCGATTTGCCATCTTGATGCTATTCGCTGACAACTGTAATGTCTTTTTCGGTTCTCCGCTTCTTCGGCCCTATTTTTGCCTTTCGAACCACTCCTCCCGTAGGTGGGCTACCTATTAATTAGCTGGTTTCCGTGCCCGCTGACCGGTTGGCTTCCATTTGCCGCTCGGACGGTGGCCGGCCTCGGGGGGCCGCGCTGCCGCAGGTGAGCTGCTGCGGCCGACCGGCCACCGACTACCGGGTGGCTGGGACAGCCGCCGAGCGCCACTGACGTATTGCGGCCGCCGACCCGATGTTGTTTTGCCTGCAGCAGTGCCCCCCCCCCCTCCTCCGTGCCCCCTCGGCGGATGGTGCCCCGCGGAGAGTGCCGCCGGCAGAGGCCCTGTGATGACTTCCTCACTGCAGCGTATGGTGCCTCAGGAAACGACAACAAACCGACTGCCGAGCTTGTTATTTGGAGAGAATAGACACACGGATTTCCGGCACGGTATAATTCAAGCCGTTCAAGCTGAAGCTCAAAACATCGCCGTTGGTCGGTATTTACTGCCGAGTTGGTTGTTTTGTTCATGTGTGTCCTGCGACGTTGGCTGTTTCCCGTGTCTAACGACCGCTGCGCCATGGCCGCGCCCCCCCCCCCCGTCCCCCTCCCGGCGCCCCCTCCTGAGGTCATTAGCAGTGCGGCGTGGCGAGTGGGGCCGGCGCCTTCAGGGACGGCTGGGTCGACATGACCGGCTGCAGGACCGCAGGCTACCGCCTACCGGTTCCGCTGCGGTGGGCGCAGGCGATCGCCATTCGCTGGTTTTATTATCGATTCCTTATTCTGAAATATATTACCAAACTTATCTTCACTGTAGCGCTATTTTATCGGCCATTTACTAATCTCACTTCCAGTGCTGAGATGAATACGCGATATCGTCTTTAATGTGGAGGAAAAATATCGTCTTTAATGTGGAGGAAATTTATTTAGGTTTGAGCCTGGAGGCGTGTAGGTATGGATTGGATATGCTGTATTCATATATACTTATTACCTACCGCATACTGACGTCTTTGATTATGCATGAATCACTTCGTACAACTGTCGCCTGCCCATTCCTTTGACAACGGTCCTAAATGCGTGTACTCCGCACCAGCACCCCAGAACAATCCACTGGGACTGGGACACTGACTGAACCAGAGCTGCGGAGTCGATGGATATTAGGGTGACTCCGAGACTCCGACTCCGACTCCGGCTTCCATAGGTGGAGAATTGTGACCAGCTGGGGGTGCTCGGGCGCAGCAAATCCGCCGCCGCCTAGCGGTGACCTTGACCCGCGCCGCCCGGCCGCGGCTCCAAAGCCAAGCCGGCGTGGCCGGCGTGGAATTGGGAGAGCTCGAGCACCCCCAGTCCAGCACAATTCTCCACCCGTGCCGGCTTCAAAAATTGACTCCGACTCAGACTCTAACTCCGACTCCGACTCCGGACGGTTCTATTGATACCCTTATCATGATATTGAAGTTCATAATGGAGATGTTTTTCTTGCCTGAAACGATTCCTTGTGCGTTCCAAAGGCGTTGCGTTGCGTTGCAAATATGCATTAAAAATAACATGCAGATTTAAAAAGCAGGTTCTGGGACATTCACCCTCTTCTGCTTCTTTCTCTGAAAACGTTCCTCAAACAGAATTTTTTTTCGACAAAATTCAATTTCGAGTGCAGTATCGTCAAGTAAACAGATGCAGTGCATGACGTTGAGCCATGCAGCGTTAACTGCGACTCCGGAATCGGAGTCAGTAAGATTTTGGCCGGGCAGAACTGTCGACCCCGACCGACTCCGACTCCGACTCCGACTCAGACTCCGCAGCCCTGGACTGAATAGCTGTTCGCTTGTTTCCTGGTCACCTGACTGCGCGGTCCGCTCGCATTCACACGGGTCTCGGCGACCAACAAACAGCCAGCGGCTATTTCTTGCCGGCGGCGGCCAGGCAGTGGGCCATTCAATGAGCCATTAGTAGTAGTCATACGCCACGCGTGCTGATGATCATCTTAATAATCCACAAACATTGAGTGAGGGAAACGGTACTGTCGCCCTCGGCGTGCAAACTCGGTTAGTGATGCATAGCTGGTCTTGTCGCATGACCTAGTGGGCGCTGTATCTTCTGTTGTTTCTTGAAATCCTATGTTATGATAGACGATTTACGTGTAACTGGAATTCGCGTTGCAAGGATTGTGGCGCCATTCACTGGCCAAATATTTAGACAGCAATGCTTGTTGGTATTTTGTTAGTGTAGGTAGTGGTCGAGATTCCTAGAAAGCTGGATGACATCCACTCTCGACAGTTTTTTTTTCGTTCTATTTTTCTTACATTTTAGGCAGAAGTACCTAAGATATTTGTCACGGTAGCGATCAGTGTATCAGTGTATAATTCACCGATTAAGTTATAGGCTCGTGCCAAAGAGCGATCTGGCGCATGATACCGCTACCATTGAATTCGCACTTCACAGTCCGTGTACTTGCGTCCTATATATAATGTTTATGTATATATGTAGTTAATATGTATGTTACAGGGAGTTTGAGAAATCTGTGAGTTTGCAAACTCCCTAGGGAGTTTGCAAACTCCCTGACCCATCAGTGAGTTTGCAAATTTACTAGGGAGTTTGCAAACTCACTGACCCGTCAGGGAGTTTGAGAAATTCCAGAGCGATTGGGACGAAAAAACAAGTGTGCAGCATGTGGTGTCATACGTGCCGTCCGTGAGGTTAAAACAAAGGTTGCTAGTTGTAAGGCCTATTTAACAGTCACACGCTAACAAAAAGCCTGCAGATCATATGCACTTCATAAATACCTGCTTAACATTTTAAACTGTTCAGTGATCTAGCCCAAACATGTACCGCCGCTTCATTTAGTCATACTTAGTTCACGTCCCAATTATAGATCCGTTCCACACAAGTATCCACACGTATGCCTTATATGCTTTAGCATAAATGACCAACTGAGCTGTTTCTACTTTGATATATTGAGCCTGACTCTTGAATAGCCACACTTTTGTGGAACGGATACAATTGGGCCGTGAACTAAATAAATGTATGACTAAATAAAGCGGCGCTGCATGTTTGGGCTAGATCACTGAACAATTTAAAATCAAAAGTATGGTGTGCATATGATCTGTAGGCTTTTTGTCAGCGTGCGACTGTTAAATAGGCCATACAACTAGCCGCCTTTGTTTTAACATCACGAACGGCACGTGTGCCACCCACATTCTGCACACTTGTTTTTATTTGTCCCAATCGCTCTAGAATTTCTCAAACTCCCTGACCGGTCAGTGAGTTTGCAAACTCCCTAGTGAATTTGCAAACTCACTGATGGGTCAGGGAGTTTGCAAACTCCCTAGGGAGTTTGCAAAC